TACGACAAAAAATAATACATAATTTTATTTATTATTTACTGCAAAAAAAAAAAAAAAAAAACACGCAATAATAATAATAATAACAATTCGAATTCGTTATAAGTCGACAATGATAATAATAATTTTTAATTATTAATCGTAACGAAAATAAATAAATAAATAAAAGCACGTGTTTACGTTATTATAATTTTATTTAAAAATTTTTTTTTTTAAATATAAAATACGCGGGAATAAATGGGGAACCTGTGCGAATAATAATAATAATAATAATAATAATAATAATAATAATAATAATAATAATAATAATAATAATAAAACAAAACGAATGCTCGATGGTGATGTGACCTTGTTTTTTGTGTAAAATCCATAAGTGGAATCTAAGTAATTTTGTGCAATAATACAATTCAAAAATCATTATTATTATTTTAAATTTACATAAATGTAATTATTTACTTTTTAATAATTTTAGTTAAAAAAAAATAAATAAATAAAATAAATAAGCAACAATTCCGAAAAAAAAAAAAAAATCAATAAAATTATTTTATTTCCTTTTTCCGAAACGTACATATACGATCCGTATTATATGATTAGAGACGAATAAAAAATTATTTCATTATTAATAAATGACGTCATTAATTAATTTTTTAAATATTAATATTATTAATAAATATAAATTTATTTATTTACCTCCTCCCAAACCGCTTCCACCGAACATTTTTATATTATTATGGAAAAAAACGAAGACACCGCAATGCAGACACAAATATCAGAAACGACTGAGAGTCGATTTAACTCGTTCACTTATGCGCATATACACCATCTATCGACTTGTTTCCTTTTTCCATATAGCCATACCAAAATAACTTGATTTCCTTCTTTTTGTTTATACCTGAAATCATAATCATATCATTTATAACATTTACTATTTGAAATACCTCTTATTAATTATAATAAAATTTTTAATAATTTTTATTTATTTATTTATTTATTTTAATTAAATGTTTGAATATCATTATCAAAAGGGTAAAAATTATTAAAGTAATATTTCAAATTACATAAAAAAATAAAATAAAAAAATTATATTAAAAATTATTTACATTTTGTACTTTTTGTTATTAAAAAAAAAAACTTATATTAAAGTCTTTTCATTTTTTTTTTTTCTTTTTAATTTTTTTGACCTTTTACATTAAAACATGTAATTGTATAAAATAATTTTTGTTTTTTTTGCAAATGTAATAATTATTTGAATTGTGTGGTGGAATTCCCCTTAAAAAACGAAACTTAACACAAACTCAAATGCTTTTTTAATCATTTAATGACAAATAAATAAACATAATAAATATTAAAAGTTATAACAAATAATAAAATAAATTATTTTAATAAATTAATGAGTGTTAATTGAATGTAAAAAGTGATAAATTAGTAATTTTGTTCTCAAACTATCAAAATCATAAAATTTCATTGTTCGTTATGAGCTCATAAATTTTTGAAATAATTTTAAGTGTCTTTGGCACATATTAATTAACAATTGTTGCAATTATAAAAAATATTTTTTTGTTCAGTATTAAAAAATACTTAAGAAAATAAATTAAATAATTTTAAAATGTTTTTTCTCGATAAATGGTTGAACACGACCATTTCAAATATTCATGACACACTTTTTCCTTTACATATTTCTTAAATAATTTAATACTATGTTAAATTTAGTTTATAATAATAAATATTTTTAGATATGTTTATATAAACATAAGTAATACTTTCATTTTGTGTTCAGTACAACATCACAACATTTTTATTAGTACTTTCAATTTTCATTTCACTCGAAAATGAAGTTTTGTTAAAAATTATATATATAAAATATTTTTTTCATGTAAATATAATAATTGTGAAAGTCTATCACATTCTAACACGAATGATATACCTCTACTTTATTATTTAATTTATAAAAATATGCTGGTTTTGAGCAATAAATACAATTTTCAAATTTCTTATGTTTATATGTATCAAAATGTTCTTTTAAATTTTTTATACCGTTTTTAGAATTTATTTTCGATTGGCACTCGATGCAATAATATTCCTCTTCGTTATTGTCATTTTTAATAACATTCGATTCGTTTTCATTTTTGTCATTTTGTTTTTTTTGAAAACGTCTATGAACGGTATCTGTTTGTACTCTGCCACTGTTTAACCGTTGAATTTCAGTTTCTAAAAAATTATTATTACACATTTATTTTATTGTTTTCTTTAAAATAAGGTTAATACCTTTTTCGTATAATTAATAATACCTCTTGATTCAACTAAGTTATTCATTGTTCATTAAGAAATAAGATACAATTTTTAAAAAAAAAATAATAATAATAATATTTATTCGTCAGCATAATTTCTGCATAAAAGAAATAATAACATTTAAAGCACAGAGTATATAAACCTCAACTTTAAGCTTACCGGTGGTTGTTTTTAATAGTGGAAATTTTTTTTTTAAAAAATGTTTTGTGCCAAAATAGATTTTTGTTCTTTTCCTACATTCATTCACTTACATTTTATTAAAAATACTATCACAAAAATATTTTTTATATTTAGTACAGAAATGTAGCAATTGTTTTTATGCTTGTTCAATTACTATTCACTTGGGTCATCTTTAATTAAAATAAAAAGGAATTTTTTTAATGCAAAATCTAGGCATATCATAATAAGTAAACTTTAACCTATGAAATGATACAAACAAAGGACTTGCATAAGTATTTTAAAATATAGGCAATTTTTAACAGCAGCTTTTTTTTTTTTTACACAAATCATTGAACATATATTAGTGAATTAGTTTGTTAACGAGATTTAACGGAATTAAGGAAGTGATAAGTTAAAATTATTATTTTTTTTTTCATTTAGTGCATTTATAATTATGGATTTTTGGGAGGGAACAATGTCTGCATTCAAAGAAAATAAAAGTTATTGTGCTTGCCTTGGTGAAAAAGACAAAAAATTAACATGTATATGTGGTGAAGTTGACTATGAGCCTGTTTGGAAATGGGATGAAAAGGCTAAAACGTCAACTGTGATTATATCTAACAATGGTCAAAAAGTTTATTTTCACAAAGGATATAGTATTGGTAATGCTTGTGTTAGGGGTGACACTCCATTATTACCAGGACACGATTATTATTGGGAAATTAAAATGCTGAGTTCCGTATATGGAACTTCTATGGTAAACTTTCTCGATATTAACTAATAAAAGATATAAAAGACCATATTAGGATAATTTTCTCATATTGACATTTTTATAATTTTTTACAGATGATTGGAATAGGCACAGAAAATTTTAACATTAATCAATCAAATTTAGAATTTTGTAATTTGCTTGGGTGTGATAGCGAATCGTGGGGAATGAGATTCGATGGTACCCTTCATCACAATAAAAAGTCTTCATCTTACAACCTATTGGCTGGTTTTACAATGGGATCTATAATAGGAGTTCATTTGGATATGTGGAATGGCAAATTAGAGTATTATTTAAACAGAATACCTTTAGGCGTTGCTTTCAGCGGTTTGCAAAACAAAATTTTGTATCCTCTATTGTCATCGACTGCTTCTCATACTGTGATGAAATTAATATTTGCTCATTCTGAACCTCATTCTCTGTCTCTTATATCTGCTAAATATTTAAATGAGAAAACTTTCAGCAGTCTTCCTCCTGGTCTCAAACTGTACAGTAAAACCTGTTGGTGGCTATTTCCAAAATCGACTAGACTGAAATCAGATAAAAAATTTGATTTGTTGCCTTCTCTTTATTCAATTGATATGTTAATCGATAGCGATGAAGAAGAAAGTTCAAATTCAACTGAATGCAATATTTTAGCTCCTAGAGTAAGAAGAGTTTTCGAAGCATCAGCAGCACATAACAGTTTCAGATCGGATAATGGTGCTGAAAGTAGACATTTTCACTCATTAGCTCATGTTAGGCCAATCAGATATAGATCAAAAACATGGTTGGACCATTAAAATCTAGAATCATAAAATTTTCTTTAGTTAAATTTTTTTCTTCTTTTCTTTCTTCTTTTTTCGCCCCCCCTCCCTTTATTACATAATATTGTTATCATAGCAAATTTTATTTTTTTTTTTAATTGTATTTATCATGATTAATAAAACTCCATAAAAAAAAACTTTTATGTACATTAATATTTAATAACAATAAAACAAATAAGCTGTATAGTAATTTATGGGTTTATCGATACAAAAAAAAAAAAATTTCAAAAATTACTTCAAACCTTTCAATACCATTAAAAATTATTTTGATAGTCATTTTAAGATTTACAAATAAATCATCATCATCATCATAATCATAATCATAATATTAATCATTATAACATTACATTATCAAAGACTGAGTGACATAAATGGGTGTCACTGAACTTCATTTGATCTTTAATGCATAATTTTTTCCTTTTTTTTTTTTTTTTTTTTTCAATCACAATTTATTTATATTTTATTATTATTATTGTAAATTTTCATAAATAAAATACTAAAAAAAAAAAATTTTTTTTTTTTGTCGTTATGATATTAATAATTAAATTTCAATTAGGTTGTGAATATTATTATTATTATTACAACTACTATTTAATTTATGATTGTCACAAATTGACCAATCGATAATTTAAAAAAAAAACAAAAAAGAAATTTTTTTGTATTAATATTATTTTTTATATATTTTTAAAATTTTCATTCAAATCGAAATTAAAATTGTTTTTGCCAAATCTATTCTATTTAATAATCATTTTTTTTTTTTTTTTTTTTTTTTACCAAAAAATCTAATAATATTAATAAAAAAATATTTTTTTATAATAATATTGTTTGAAGAATAATAAATACTTTTTAAAAAAAAAAAAAAATTTGCTTTTATTTACCTTTGGTTAAATATAAAAATGTATCCTCGACCATTAAAATAAAATGAGAAGTGGCTAGAAAAAAAATTGTGCACATGGAAATAAATAAAAAGTTTTGTAATATAAAAACATTGAAAAAATTTTAGTAACTTAACATTTATTTATATTAAAAAATTATAGTTTTGAACTACACCAGTGAAATTTTTTGGTCTTACTTACTGACTTCTTACATTGTGACTAATCAATCACTTTAACTTTTTATTCATTTAGAATTTTTCAGATGTAGAATTTATTTTCGAATAATCGTTTTATTTTTAACTAATAAAACTACATATTAACTCGACAAAAAATTTAATAATTTAATAATAAAGTACAGATAAAAAAGGATGATAATTTTTCTTTTCTTTTAACTTGTAACACTCAAGAGATGACAAAAAAAATTTTCGATGTTAAAAAATCTATGTTGGTCTAAAACACTGGATTCTTACCGTAAAGCAACTCTGTCTTATATTTATGCATAAACATCTTCTCTATCAGCTACATATCTTATAATATCAGCTGGTTTAAGGAGTTTTTCAGCATCTACATCTGGTATTTCAAATCCAAATTCATCTTCCATAGCCATTATTATTTCTACATGATCTAAAGAATCCAATCCTAAGTCATTCATAAAATGCGAATCCAACTTAAGCTGAAAATAAATAAGCACAATTAATAAATTGATACATAATAAATGTTTATAATTGTGTTACAACATTATGGTAGCAAGTTAAATTTAAAAAGGGATTCGTAAGAGAGGGTTATATAAAAAAAATATTATCCATTAAAACCCTCTTCAAAATATTCACTATTAACAAAGGCAATGATTTTCTTAAAAGCTCCAAAAGCATACCTTATTGGGGTCAATCTTATCAAAAAGGTTAAGGACTAGCAACACTCTGTCCTTAATAAAGGCTAAACTGAGCGGTGGTTTAATGGCGTAATACCTTATGGATGTCTCAAGAAAATCCCTCTGTAATAGAAACAAAATTATTTAAGTACCTTGTTTAATGGTATTTTTTCGAACTCCGCGCAAACTTTTAATACTCTTTCTTCTAACTGAATAATTGATGATTTGCCTTCAGCAAAAAGCCGATTCTGAACTGAAGTTCCCAGTATAAAGGTCTGTATGATTTTCATAACAATATACAAAAATGAAAAGGAAATATTTAGTGTTACTTTCAAATTAAAATAATACACATTTTAAAAAAAAAATACTATTTTCAGAACAATTCGTACACATTCGTATTTGAAATTTGTACCTTATTTTTTAACAATTGAGTGGCAGTAAATTTGCCGTTAATATGATGATGTAATCCATTTTTTTGCAAACAATATAATCCTACTCGAGGCAAACTTTTTTGTACAGCTTTGTTAAAATTAGCTAATGCACAAAACGAAGTCCGGGCCAACGTCGCCATTTTAAATAAAATCTTTGCAATACGGAAACGGAAAAAGAAGTTTTGAAATCAGAAGAAAATTTTAAATTTTACCGGTAATGCATTCGAATTTTAATTTTTTAATCCTTAATAAAATTAAAAATTTATTTTAAATTCAGTTATTTTATATATCTAGAAAATTTACTTTAAAATTAAAATGTATATTGCGAATTCGTAAAATAAGTGTTAACTACAAATAGAAATAATCCACTGAAGTATTATTTTCCTAAATCAGATAATAATCTTTAAATACATTTCATTTTGATTCACAAAAAAAGTACCCATTAATTAATTTTAAAAAATCTTTTCTTTTTTTTTGAATTTCGATGTATTCAAAAAATAAAGCATTAATTCAAACAAGGTATTAAAGATAAAGAATAAAGCTATGAATATTTATACCTTTTTTAAAATTAATTTACCAAAAACCGAAAGCATTTAAAAATGCTATGAAAATTCTAAGCTATTTTTTTTAAAGGCATTCATATACTTAAATATAACAAAAAATTAAAATAAAATATGATTTTGCTAATGATTTTATATTACAATATAAAATTTTCATTTTAATTTTTGAATTTTTTTATTACAAAATAATAAATTATTATTTAAAGCTTTGGCATTTATTCGGTGAAAAAAATTTCTTTGAGCTGGCTCTCACATAATTTTTTTACTTCATCTGTAATATTATTAAGATTTTCTTTCTTGTGAATAAATGCAACATAAAACTCTCTTGAATTTGAATATTTTCCAACTAGCCAACAATCATTTAAAGTTTGACATATAACTTCCCCATATGCATTTTCTCTAAAAGTACAAAATATTTTTTTTTTTAAATTTCGACAAACTCTGATTTATAATAATGTTTATTAAGTTTTTTTTTTTTATACTTACTCAGAATTTTCAATATTTAAATCTGAAATCATTTTTAATATATCCCCAGGAACATTTTTACTAACATTTCTTCTACTTTGTAAATGCATTGTACTTTTTTGAGCTAAATTTAATTTATTAAAATACAATACTTTTGGACTTCCTTCGCTAGATGAAGAAGTTATGGATGTGTTTTTCTGACAGTGTTCAGCTATTTCCGTGACTAAAGGCGATAAATAATTTGACAAATATGAATCTAAATTTCTAAAAATATCTATGCTTAAATCGCTTGTTTCTTCGATAAATAAACATAATGTTGCACTTAAATACTGATATACGAGAAAATAAAATATTTCTACATTATTATCACTAGTTAAATAAACTTTAGGAATCTGTAAAAAAAAAAGAAAAAGAAACATTATGCATAATGATAAATCAAACATTTAATTAAAAAAAAAAAAAAGGAAAAAAACTGTACATATAACACACCATTTCAGCATTAATTTTTGGATTTTTAAACTTAAACGATTTTGTAACTAAACTCCTGGTATTATAATGACTGTACACTTCGGAATCAAGTTCCTTAAATAAGAAACCATCTTGGACTTCTAAATCTATTTCAGGTGGAAGTAATTTAAATATTAAATAATGATAAATTATTTGCATATCTTCAGGACAAATTCCACTCCTGTGAAATTAAATTTTTGTTATTTAAATAACAAAATTTAAGATTATTTACAAAATTCCACTGAACATTATTTACCAAATTAGTTGATCGTTAAATAAGAAAGCAGAATGTTTAACAAATTTAAATTTGGTTTCAACTAGATTAACAAAACATTGCACATGTAAAAAAGGTTCTTTTCTTAATGGCAAATAAGACATTCCTTGAAATACATCTAATATATCACAGTTAGCAATTTTCAACTCTGATAAATACTGAAATAAATAAATATTATCGGTGCTGATTACATTATGTGATAAAATTATCGATTTTAGAAGTATGAAAAAAGAAAACTTACACTGTCGTAAAATTTTGATAATTTTTGTTTTAAAATATTTAAACCATCATCAGATGATGACAAAATTGAATTGAAACTACCATAAAATAATTTAAATATTTTATAACATTTTTTTAATATTGAATCAAATACATTTTCTTGAATCGAATCACTTTTTTCTTTGGAACAATTATCATCATTATTTATTTCTTGGACTGGAGCTCCAATTGTCATGACAAGCCAAAATTCTTTTTCAGCTTCGAAAAAGAATTGTTTTGATTTTTTCGTATGAAAATTTTGACAAGGTTTATCAGGCTTAAAAGATCTAATCGAATTAAAACAAAAAAAAAAAAAAAAAGGTTTTAACTCTGACAATAATTATAAACAAAAAAAATTTTTTAACATGAAACTCACTCAGTAAATTTAATTAGAGCCTCGCATAAACCAGCATTTTTTAACTGAACGTCTTTATTTGTTTCATTTGGATAGTAAAACAAAATTTTTTTGTATTCCTAAAAACAATTTGAAGTGTTAACAAAAAAAAAAATTTAACCTAAAAAACGAATATATATAATTTTAAATATTTAAATGATTCGAATATGAATTCCGCTTGTACCTCTCCTTCCCTTTGCCCGTATTTCGGATTAAATATAAAAAAATTAACAAGTTCTAAGTCATTTGAAGAAATCATAATAAAATAAAATTTTTTACAAAAAAAAAAATTGTCTGCCTATAATAATTTAATAAATAAATGTTTTCAAAAATACTACGTGTCTATTGACACGACATTTGGGCCCTCTTATTTTCAAACGACAACTTTTTTAGAAAAAAAAAAGCTTTTTCTTTTTTACTTGCGTTTAAACGAATTTTGTAAAAAGAATAATTGTAGAAAAAAATGTATTATTTTAAAAATAAATAAATAGATAAATATTCAGATTTAATAAAAAAAATTATTAAATAAGTTAATAAAAAGTTTTATATCTCTATGATTTCTAACAGAAAGCGGTGGTAAGCTCTGTTTTAATTTCGATATTTTCTCTCTTAACAGTCAGTGCACGAAACGACATGGAAGGGGTGAGGTAGTAATTAGTAAAAGTTTACAACGACCGATGAAGTTATAAATTCATCCACACAACGAAAACGAATTTATTTTTTTTTTTTATTGATAAAAATAAATATATATATATACATATATATATTTAAGGTAAAATAATGTTTAACTCGTAAAAACTAAAAATAAATAATTATATAATATTTATTATAATCCTTTAATTTAATTTTCCCATACTAAAAATTTTTTTTTGTTTGCTGCTCTCTCTCTATATTTAACTCGTCAAATAAATCGAATTAACTTATTTATAGAATTTCTTACTCACGCATTTATATAAATATATTATCCGCTTTTATAAAACTTTTTCTTTTTTTTATTATTTACGATTTCAAATTTTTTTTTTTTTTTTTTGCTATTAAATAACATTACGAAAAAAAAAAAAAAAATTTTTTTACGTATAAAAATCCATGCGAAAAATATAACGTGTGTGTTAATTACTTGTTATGACGACTAATTTAATTTAATTTAATTTAATTTAATTTAAATTATCGTTATGCGAATATTACAAAAAAGAAAAAAGAAAATCATTTTTCTAACAACGACAATAACATTTCAATGACGTACGTGTGTGTGCGTGTATTTAAGGACAACCGTTTGCCCACGCAAATTTTATTATCCTTTTCTAGTGACCCGTTTTAATAATAAAATGTCCGACGAGTATGAAAAACTAATTGAAAAAAAAATATTTTTTCGCCGTTAAAAAGAATCTTTAACTTAAAAAAAATTATATTAATAATAATAATGATTTAATCGATTTAAAAAAGGAAAAAGGAAAAAAAGGTGCAAACGATCATAAACTTGTTTTTACTTAATTTTTTTTTTAAATTTTTTTTTTAGGGCTTGTTTTCATTTTTTTTTTTTATAACTTTCACGCCACTCCTGTAACAATCTCAAGTAAATATAATCATCAAAATTTATGTTAGAGAATAAGAGAGAATTATGAATTGAAAAAAAAAAAAAAAAAAGAAAAATTTTAAACTTTAATTTAAGCCAAAATTAAACGTGTTACACGAATGATTATTATTATTATCATTATCATTGAATTAAACCATTTAAACTAATTCTCTCAACTCCTTGTTAATTTATAAAAAAAGCTCCACAAAGAAATAAACCTACTCACACAAAAAAAAATAATTTAAATATTTTTTAAATAGAAAAATTTTATTATTATTAACAATCAATTAATAGGAAAGTTTTTGAGTAGTGAATTGTCGTTAATAATAATAATAAAATTTTTTTTTTTTATTATTAATAAAACAAATATTTGTTGTTGTTGTTGTTTATTCGTACAAACAACGTCATGACAAAAAAAAAAAAAATTTCAAGACCTTGGCATCACACTATGCAATCTGC